AGCGAGAGAAACAATGACGTAACCAAGCACAAGCATGTACAAATTTGTTTGGTTTCGGTAAACAAAATTATCAAATTCACAGCTATTATTAAAAAAACGGTAATAAAATACAATAATGGTGATAATATTAAGAATAGTAGTTGAAGATGATACGTCTAATGCAATTAGTTGGATGGGTAAATTGACAGAACGATCCAACTGTAACGCATTTGAAACACTGCATTATCAATTTCTGGTTTCGATTATCAGATTGTCATGATCTCGTGCTTGTGTTATTACTATTTGTTTTCGATTGCTTTCATCAATAAACCTAAGTGCATTTTATGTGCTTATGAAGTCGTCTGCTCACTTCTATTTCAAATTCCTTACCATCCGAAAAGCGATGATTGATAACAACACCAATACGATAATTAAAAGCATCGGCGGCAACAATTATTTCCAATTACGAGTTATAATGTGTTAATAATGAATCAGAGGATAACATTTTCTTGATTTTGTCAAGGGGATTTTGACACTCGTCTGATCACTTCCATGTTGCATTAACTGTTAAAAGCTAATTTAACGGACGGCGTAGTGTCAGCAAAGCCGGAACAAATGCACTACAATATCCAATCGTTCCTGAAAATGATAGTAATGTCATTACATTAGTCGGTGGAGACACTTGTTTAGTGGCATATATATTATCTGGATCCGGTCGACGACCATGTTTATCAAATATGAATCTAAGAAAATTAACAGATTCAAGAAATAGTTCACAATTATATTTTTACAGTCGAAAACCAGACTCTGATATTCTTGTAAGTAGATTGTCCAAAGAAGACAATTCTTCTTTAAAGTTACTACAATAATAATATCATCCAAGTAGGCTGCAACACCATTGAGATTCAATATCACAGTATGTATTAACTTGTGAAAAATTGAAGAAGCTGGCTTTAGAGCGGAAAGTAATCTAATTGCAAATATGCATTAAATAAATCAATTTTTGCAAAATAACGTCCAACATTTAGTTTTATGAATAAACCCTCAGGTAAAGGTAATGGATATGAGTGATTTTGCAAAGCATTATTCAATCCCGTAGAGTAGTCAGCACATAGGCGGACGATTCCATCAGTTTTCTGAACTACAACAATAGTGGCTGACCATGATGAAAGACTAACTGGATGTATACATTCATAAGGAAAATTGGTTTCGCTCCATGTTGTAAATACAATTTGGCTTTGGATGTTACATTTAGCACAGGTGAGTTATTGAGAGTGCAGGAATCGTTTAGTGTACAAACTGTATCCAGTGGGATATTCCATTGATTTAGTTTATCGATCCAATCAATACCGACAAGGTCTAAATCGTGTCTACTTGTCAAATAACAAGTTTCATTAAAAAGTAATCTCTAAATTGAACAATATATTCGATCATTTCGACGGGTTCTAGAATATTCCCAAATCCGTTACGAACCATATTTTCTGTAGGCAGTATTGAAGGATAACCCAGAAGTTTCCATGTCTTTCCAGAAATGAGTGTGATATTAGATGCTGTATCTAATTGAACACGAATCGGGACATTATTTATGAACAGACCCGATCATGAACTAGATTGCATGCATTCGTTGAATATATAATACGTACTTTCTGTGACTCTGGGAAAACTTCATTTGTGATTTGGAATTTAAATAATTCCGTTGTTGACAGAAAGTATATTTATGATCAAATTTACAACATACCTTACATCGGTGATTCCAACACCAAGTCTTCGCAAAATACCATTGAACAGAAAACCAACATTTTGTAAGTTTCTTTAGTTTAGCTTGGTGGCGATTGTGAACAGAACATTATCTTCTCTGAAGTATTTTACAGAATGGATATTGCTATTTTTCGGGGGTTTTAATCTAGTTCCTACGATTGCAGTGCCATGCTTTAAATTTAGCAAGCGTTGGCAATGCAGTGATTATTTGTAGTACCATTTCGTCATCAATACGGGATAATAATCGAGTTCGAACATCGGCATCTGTGGAAGACTATAGTCCAAAAACAAACAATAAGCATTTAAATTGGTCATTTGATAATGTACTTAATTTAAGCGTTCAATTTGTAGATTAATCCTGCTTGCGTACGTCAGATAATCTTCACCAGAGTCCTTTTTTAACTGGAGGCATCTATAACGAATATGAAATAACAAAGCTTGTTCACAAAATATCTTGTTCAAAATACCAGCGGTTTCATCAAAACTCAACTCCCTTGGGTGTCTTGGCAGGATAAAATTTTCATATTTAGTGTCCTTGTGGGTCAAGTTTTTGTGATACCAATCTTACGTTCCTTTCATCCGAGAAAGATATTCGATGCTAGCGAACCATAATTCAAATATATGACCGCGTTCCGAATCAAAAATAAGTTTTGGGACTAATTTAAGTAATGGTTCTATTTCCTCATCTTTTGCGGTGCATTTGGACTGGATTGAAGATTTTGATGTAAGTGATGTAAGCATCTGTTCTTGAGAAGCTAAAAATTGACTCTGCTGTTGCTGAAGAAATAATTGCATTTGCTCCATTAAAGTTGACATATTGATTTTCTTTTTCTGCATGAGTCAGAACAGTAATAAGAAAAAGACTGAATGACTAATTAATAACTAATGTCGTGCAAGGACACCGACGACAGCTCTGTACGTTGTGTTCAAATAATTACACTGATTCTCGTTCAACTACTGGATGGCCTCGATTCCTTTGTGAAAGTCGAGGTCGTAGACTTTCCATCCCGTCGCCAACTTGTTGTCCTATGGTCCATCAAATAACGTGATAAAATCGCCTTTTTGAATACCGACTTATATAACCTTGCCCCTTTGCTAAAGCAATGATGCGTTAACCAGCACGAACAGCCTCCAGTCAACTCTCAATTCCTATTGGTCCTCTGTATAGCAACTTCCCGCCTAGCACAAACCGTTCAGTCTAGAACAAAAATATCAGACTCCACTGTGTGGATCGTATATTTCAGACATACTCGGTCTACATACAAGCAGACCAGACTGCATCATAATACAGAATGAAAAAAGAAATGTCATACAAGACCACGCCAAAAGTATTTGTGAACGTGGGATACTGTGACCGATATGTTGGGAACAAGTTAAGAATGGCAAATCGTATTGCGGTAGCCAAATGAAAGCTTATGACGGAAGGAATGTAAACATATAATCTAGGTACCCAATAGTTATTCTTCGGATGCAACAACGTTAAAAGGAGGCAATCAACAGATGTAACTTTCTATGTAGTGGGAACACTACAGTATTAATTATTCATATGCTTATCTTTATAATGGCTAAAATACAATGGATCTAATTTTCAAGAGTTGGGAATAATATGAAGCTAGGTAATTAAAGACGTTTAGAGCGTGAATGGGTCCATTGACTAATATTTTTTAATAGAAATAAAATTTGCATATCATCGACTACTATGGCAAGTTTTGGACATTTGATCTATGATTTTATGCACACCAAAGTGTACGAAAAATACTAGTTCATTTTTTTTGTAGACATTTATACTACTTGGTTTGTTGTTAATAGTTTGATAACTGGTAGCTATAGAAGAAAATAATATATGAGTAATAAACTAGTGACACAATTTGCTGTTACTACTTTATCATTTGAATTTTCAGGAATTCAACTCCTACCAGATGGTCCACTTATCGACTTAGAGAACGGAGATGACACAGTCCTGTTTGATGAGGACGCCAATGAAATGTAGAGTTTTAAGGTAGCACAGAGTGACAATGCCAGGATGTTTGAGATGCGTCTCTCCCCCTCTAAATGCAAGTTGTTGCCTCAGCACTGGTCCACGTCAACACCTAAACTAAGGATAGGGAGTGAAGTAGTCGACAACTTCACTTATGATGAAAGTCTGAACAGCTCTAATTGGTGTCTGACGACATATCTGCACGGATTAGAAAAGACGAGATATGTCTATCAATAAAGGGACGAGTATATTGTGCAGCAGTTCGTTGTTCTACTTTACGGCTGCGAAACGTGACTACTAAGAGTAGAGGATGCTCGTGAGCTTCAAGTATTTGATCGCAGATGTCTTAAAGTATTGCTCGCATCTTCTGAAATCATCGGGTAAGTAATAGTGAGGTTAGACGCAGGGTATTAGGGAATGATGGTATATCCGTTGATGAGGTTGTAAATATTTATCGACTGAGATGGTTGGGCCACGTGTTCCGTATGTCTGAACACCGATTACCACGACGCGCAGTACTGACTAGTGTTGAAGACAGTTGAAAGAAAGTTAGGGGAGGTAAAACTAAAACTTGGCTTTAGTTCTTGAAGTCACTAACTTCTGGTCTGAGCCATGTTGGTAGACGCAAACTACTTGGTTGGGGTTCGTGCGACTACCGTAACCAATGTTCGGAGACTCTGAGTGACATGGCTCACAGTCGATCTCAGTGGCGCGCATGCATTCACATGCTACCTCTATAGATCAGTGTTTCCAATATCCCTCCATACATACCTTCCCATCAACTTTTCGAACCACATTCTTAATGTTTATTCTTTCTTATTATGGTTGCTGCTACATTATTTCGGTTTCTCTGACGTACATCTTGTTAATTTCATTTCGTCGACCTAACGTGATATGACAACTTAGACCAACTCCTGTTTGAGCCGGGCTCTATGTTGATGTCTATTTTTCTGAGTTCACCCTTATCAAGCAGCTTTCGTTGACATACATTATTGTCTGTCTCTTTGTTGATTATTTCTAACTGGTTGTTTAAGCATCATATGTGCCAAGCTCTTTGTTCACTATGACTGACACGTATTAACGACGTCGAATTTCGGGCTACTGGTAAGATCTGAAAGTTTCTGCAAGTTGTATATATTTATGTTAGAAACCCTTGAAACTATATCATATATATTGCAGGCCTCAGGGTATTTTACTGATTATATGATCATTCTATGACACCGCTTCATGAACAGAAAATAATTAACATGAGTTTCAATAATAATGTAAAAACCAAAACTCAACTGAAAACTTGTTACGAGACATTACTACAAAATACATCCACATAAGCATACGAGAAGCGATGATTTTAGGTTTGTTTACAGTCAGTCAGTCATACTCAATGTAGGACCTGTCACATATGTGAATCGGTGTAAGTTGTCACACTACACTAGCATAGGGAAATGAAATTATCAAGATAAATCCCAGATTGTTAGAAAGTTTAACAATACCAGTAATAATAGAAAGGATTAGGTAGACAACAAACGGAAAAGTTGTAGCCTTATTATAATATTGATTCGATAGCATGAAATGCCAAACAAAGCCAACTGCTTTGCATAGAAAATTTCTAAAAGTAGGTACACCAGTGAAACAAATGGATTTCAAGTACAGATTGTGATTAAAATCCACAATAATCTAATTATCTTTGCTTTCCGGTGGGTATAATAGTAGCATCTGACTGAATAGCATTCAAAAACAGATTACCTTTCTCGTAGAGCAAAGAGCCATTTGAGTTTTCTTTTTCAGATCGCAGGAAATAGATCAAGTCTTGTGGTTTAATTGTGTGCGAGAATTCAGCTTAAATAAGCAAAAACAAAGAGCTTTATGAGATCATAACTGGAACCAAACCACATTTATATAAATGTGGATCAAAACTAAGAGTAAAATTTCAGTGTTTTTATCTCTTCAGATACAAGTACCAAAAATGGGGACTAACTAAAATCATAGCTGCTGTCATTAGTCAAAAATCCCTCGACATTTGATCAACTATATTCACAAAAAAGATTTCCTACTGTGAGTTGGAGAACTCAGTTTAATGGTTTAAACTTAATGCAACATTAAACTACGACCAAAAGTATTTGATAATTCATAATTACAAACAAATATGGGATCAGAGATATGGTTTCATCTGACCAGGTATTTTCCGCTTTAGTAAACATGATGCACATCTCACCAATTTAAATTTACAATTTTAAGACTTGGTTCACGTCATTTAAAGCATTAATTTCCTAGACCAGAGACTAAATTTCGCACTGAAGATTTCATAAAATAACTAGTGGTCAAAAAGTTGTCGTTTTTTCATCCCATTAAACCCACATTTTGTCTTACATATCTGTATGAAAATAAGTATATTTTGGTGGTCTAAAGGATTTTTGACTAGTGGTACAGGGTAATTTGACGGATAAATTCAAGATGGTTGTTTGATTAATTTAAATTTTGTGTAGTGAGAGATCAAAAAACGTGAGGTACCATTTAGTGTATGGGAAATGAAGACCCCTAAGTTGAGCTAACACAGATTTTTGAGGATGTCTTCGGAACAAGTCTGGTACTAATAAATTGCGAAAATTCTAGCCTAAGACTAAATTGAGTAGAAGTTGGTAAACTGATAAAACACACCGATAAAAACTTACTTAGGTTAATAAAATGTTAGTGTTTAATTAGAGATGATGAAATGCATAAACTTATTTAACTTTGATGACTAGACTATTCAATAATATACTCTTTTAGCATTACCGGAATCAAATGCTTTTGACAATTATCACATCAATATTAGATGGAGACCAAGAATGATTTAATGCATGGTGTTAAATTATGACCGGGTTTCAGATTCAAATTTCTGGCAGCACCAACAATCGCTCCTTTGGGTGATACACACCCAATGATTTATTCTATTTTTGTTAATAGGAGGTTTAGGACTGTTATGAAAGCTACACGTCAATTTATTAGGCTATAGCCTAACCCTAATTTATGAAGGTTTTTTGAAAGTGGTTTGACACTAAAACAAAGCTAACCAACAGTAATAGATGGTTGATTCTAACTAGGTTCGTAGACCCTTCTGTATTAAATTGAACAGTAACTTTGAATAATGTAATAAGGTTCACTATCCAATCCGCTCCTTATTGGTTCACAAAAATGGCCTTTTCCAGTTAATACAAAAAACTATCACCGATCTTCGAACTTTAATTATTACTCTAAGATATTTCAAAAAAAAGAGCAGATATGAGGAATTAACAGATGTGGAAAGTCAGGTTTTATGGAGGCATGAAAAATAAGCAATGAGAATACGATCAGTAAGACCTTTGGTCATCCCAATTTAATCACTAGCAAACAACATAAAAGAACATCGACTACGGTGACGAAATTCCAATGATATATGAAATTAAGAGATATTTTTGATATCAAACATAGCTTAGAAAGGTCTATCGATTACCGAGGTGCAGGACTTACACTTTTTTACCTCAGTAGGTAAAATCCCAGTTTTTTCAAAGATAAAACTGACGTGTTCCGAAATAGCATTGCCCAAAGGTGTGACATCAGATTTCGAAATATCTGGATGTGAAAGCAGTCCGGTAGGGACAAGGCATTCTCTTGTTTTAAGTTGAACAAGAGCAGTTTCCAAGTTCGCTAGGTGCACTGAGTCCATGAATTCACCAACAAGAAACTTCCGACTTTCAGTTTCACAAAACGCTAGGCACACATGCTGAAATACAGAGCAATTGTCTTGTTTGATTGAATAATTAACTCCAATAACAAAAATCAAAAACATTGTAACACTAGGACATGGAACAGGAATAATGAATTCCAAACAGATATCACCAAATGATCATGAATATCTTATGTAGACGGAAACCACCTTCAAGCTTAACGGAATAACCTTTTCTCTAGCCATAATGATGAGTAATTGATGTTCTGGCTGCCACAATTAAACCTTTCGCCAACTGTTCTAGCCAAAGATTTCAGTTGTGACGCTCTTGCCTGTGGCTTCAATTATAACATAAAGCAGTAATAGAGTAACACAACTTTTTTATCTCCTAGTGGCACTTCCCGGCATTTGAACGTAGCTACTCCGGCTGAAAGTACCTAAATATTCTAATATAAACGTAGGATTTAGTTATTTAGATTATCAGAAAAGTATTGTACTGAAATGTCATTAATCTAAGTCCTAAGAATTGACTTTAGGTGTACTTTTAAGGGTGTTAGTATACTTACCTAGTTTAAACATGTAAATTTTGGAGACCGAAAATGTAGAGACCATAAATAAAGATAGCACTAAATAAATGGAGAAAACGGTAGTACAATCAAAAAAAATGAACGAGAATTCATACTAGGATATACAGCTCACTTGAAAATACAACCAGAAACCTTTTTTATCTAAGAACGTTTCTCACAATTTTTTCCACTAGCTATTATATTGTGGCATATTTGCTAACGTTCCAAGTTACATAGTTGAACCACCTACAGAATATACAACTTATGGTTTGAATTAGACATAACAGACAGTTTCTGATGAAACCAGTAATCTACGGTCCCTGTTTAGAAAATTCTGACGCTGTAAGTATCACTAAGTGATATTTAATACCTTAAATACGAAGTGTTTAACCCAAGTCAATCGTTACATTCACATATCCGGGTGGTTTTGTCTGTTATCAACAAGGTTGGTGAACATTAGCAGCGAATCGCATACGGTTGTAAAAGTTGCACTAAACTTACTATTCGTTCGTTTAGTTGCTTTACATTTACTGCACTGAGTCCACAAGCTTCAACTGAATCTGATGTGGATGTAAGGAGATCTTCTACTGAACCCAAGTTCCCAGGAGAAGCCTGAAAATAAGCTAATAGCTGGCTCTACAAACCTTCAACTTAAGGCTCCACTCATTATCTCTCCCACATTTGGATGTGGAACAATATATTTCGATGCGATATTGCCTCTTTAGAAGAAAATGTCTCAAAAAGTCAGTGTTTTGTTTTTTGACAGTGACATACGACAGGCTTGACTTCCCCCTGGAAAACCGCTTTACGAGGGACGGATTTCTGTAGTAATCTGTAGCCACAAGAATAGCATCAGAATCATGAAGCGTCATTATCTCCTGGAAAGAAATAACTCCAATTAATATGGCTTACCCCTCTTTCGAAGCATCGAAGAGTGGTAGGAGGCTTCTATATTGGAAAGTAAATTTTGAGAATTTTATCCTTACAGGTCCAAGAGATTTCCAGAAGGAATAAAATCCATCTTCCAATGAAACACTCGACTGCATATTCTGTTACAAATGTTACCGGTGTCTATTTGGAAGCAGGGGAGATCTAAAGCAACAGCATACAAATAAGGGTCAGTGAATGTCTCGAAGCAAGAACACGACGTGCTAGCACAACATATATATTTCAGAAATCAAATAACGTATTTGGGCCACAAAAGGGAAAGGTTATTATGAAGATAGTCTTATCCATCACGCAGATCCTATTTTTTCTTCCAGCACGTTTACTTATTGTTCCCCTGTAATAAGAAAAACATTTTCATTTCAATAGCGTTAAGTATGGTGAAGCAAAGTGAAGCAAGGTTAAAACGGTGATTTTCAAACCAGTTGCGCAGAGCGCCTAATCAAGAAACCCTATATTTCTGTGCTCAATAGATCCAATCAGAAAAGATACTGTCAAATAGGTAGTAGAAAAAAAGCAAAATAAGGTTTTCCCTAACGACCTCTGGCTTATGGTAGCAGTGAGTCACCCATAATTGTATCTACTGCCTCAAGTATATGGTTCATTACCGAGCTTTGATAGTATTTACATACTTACTTCCGCCCGTTACTCCTCGTGAAGGAGCATAGGCCTGTCACCAGCACTATTCATCCAACCCTGCCCTGGGCGGTCCTTTCCAGCTTCTTCCGGTTCCAATTCATCCTTTTCACATCTGCTTCATTTTCTCGAAGTAATGAGTTTGTAGCGGTAAATAAATCCCCAAAATAAATAGCTCTGTAAGTTTCCGACATTGGATGCTGACCATATGTTTTAGTGGACTCATCTAGCTGAAGGCACTCGGTCAGGCATCCGCACCAGATCACGTGTGGTAACGCCGTGCTCAACATCAACCGCAATCGCTAGCCAGATTAGATCAGAGAATTCCGATATATTGGTCATCGCCAAATATACTCTTCCGATCTCCTCGACTCTGTCTTTTGATTTCTCTGGGTGGGAACGAAATATATTAGGTGTTACTGGTAGAAGTGTTGTCAAACACTGAATACCTGTGACATCATCATTGGTGAGACCGACGTGATCTGGTACACCTAATTGCAACTGTGAGTCTGTTCCTTTTTGGGATTTTTATATATCATTGCCTTATTTTTTTATTTTTTTTTAAACAATGTGATTTTTTTCTTGTTTCTTCTTGGATATATATATATTTTCCCCTCGTTCATTATCATACTTCATCATGACTGAACAGATACCTAAAGTACTCAAGCTTAAGACTTTGTCCCCACCTTCGTTTCAACTGATGCCTTTCTGGCCCGACAACATCGAAGCCTGGTTTTGCTACGCAGAAGCCGACTTCTACGAGCACGGCGTGATCGACACACGTGCACAATTCCTCGCAGTAGTCAAGGCACTACCGCGCGAATTCAACAGGTACGTAACACCTAGTATGTTTACTAGTGATGTTTCCGATCCTTACGAAATCTTAAAACGCTCGATTCTTAAACGAGGAGACCTAACCGATCGACAAAGGTTAGATCAACTCTTCAATAACATCGACCTGCAACACGGTTCTGCGACAGACATGTTGCAACGGATGAGAGAGGTAATAGGCCCAAGAACTTTCGACGAATGTCTATTCAAACAACTCTTCTTATCAAAACTTCCCCAACAGGTGCAAGCAGTTCTGGTCTCGTTTCAGAATAACGCCTTAGACGAACTAGCTGCATCTGCCGACCGCATTTTAGAAATTACGAAACCTTCTACTACCGAGGTATTTTCAGTCAAAGAAAAACCTCAAACGACTCAGAATGATATAACCGAGTTATGTCACACACTCACGCGTTATCTTAGTCTTCGTACCGACCGTAAGAGATCGCGCGCCCCACGTAGAAGCATTTCTCGTAAGCGATCTGTCTCTAGACCACGAGAGACAGATAACCCCGACTGGTGCTGGTATCATAACCAGTATGGAAAGTTTTCCAGAAATTGCAGAAAACCCTGCAATTTTCCCAACACGAAACCGAGTGACTCGAAAAACAACTCGGGAAACTTCCAAGCCGGCACGCGTTAACGGCAACCGTAGCCGGCGAACAAAGCCGTTTGTTATTCGTCACGGATGTGACAACGAGAGTTCGCTTCCTCGTCGACACTGGCGCAGAAGTTAGCGTTCTCCCAGCAAATCCTAACGACCGACTACACGAATCGACCCTAAACTTACAGGCGGCAAACGGAAAACCGATCGCTACGTATGGCAAAAGGTACGTTTACCTTAACGTGGGTTTACACAAACCCATTCACTGGATTTTTGTTGTTGCAGATGTTTCTATGCCAATCATTGGTATGGACCTTCTACAACATCACAATCTGATCATCGATACGCGCAAACGGAGTCTAGTAGACGGAAACACTAATTTATCCGTTTGCGTAACTTCTTTTACTGGTTGCAAATTATCCCCAGTCACAATTAAACATATGATAGACCCACTCTATCAGCCACTACTCGATAAGTACCCTGGGATACAACAAACCCAACCGAGATTACCGTGTGTAACCAGCAATGTTACACATCACATCACGACTACAGGACCACCTGTATTTTCTAAAGCACGACGACTAGCTCCCGAAAAGCTAAGGTTAGCGAAAAACGAATTCGATCACATGATAGACTTAGGGATCATACGACCGTCAAGTAGCCCATATGCCTCTACGTTGCACATGGTCCCTAAAAAGGACAGCAACGATTGGCGTCCAACTGGTGACTATCGGCGATTGAACGCGAAAACCATTCTCGATCGTTACCCGTTGCCTCACATTCACGATTTGACAGCTACCTTGAAAGGTAAAACTGTCTTTTCGAAAATCGACGGTTAAAGCGCATAACCAAGTCCCTATGGCTACTGACGACATACAGAAAACAGCTATCATAACTCCCTTCGGACTCTATGAATTTTTGCGAATGCCTTTCGGTCTAAGGAATGCTGCTCAAACATTCCAAAGATTTATAGACGACGATTTTCGAGGTCTCAACTTCGTACACGCGTATGTTGACGACTGTCTAATCGCAAGTCCGGACAGAGAAACACGTCTCAAGCATTTGGATCTTGTTTTCGAACGACTACAAAAACATGGCATTACTGTAAACGTTCTGAAATGCCAATTCGGAACCGACTCAGTAAACTTTCTGGGACACACTATCGATGCTCAAGGTATCCGACCCCTTAGAACCAAAGTGGCGGCCATTCTGGATTACCCAGAACCGACCACCGTCAAGCAATTACGCACGTTTAACGGCCTGGTAAGTTTCCATTAACGTTTCATATCGAAATGCGCATTACTTATAAAACCTCTGACCGACCAACTTCGTGGAAATGCGAAATCCATTAATTTGGACGACACCGCACGAAAAGCATTCTCCACAGTTAAGGAACTGATCGCTAAAGCAACAATGCTCGCACATCGGGACACCGAAGCACCCATTAGTATCGCAGTAGACGCATCCGACTCGACAATCGGAGGAGTCTTACAACAATGGGTTAACAACTCCTGGCAACCCTTGGCATTTTTCTCTAGACGGTTGCTAGACACCAAATCGAGGTACAGCACATTCGGTAGGGAACTCCTAGCTATGTATTGTGCTGTACGGCATTTTCAACACTACATCGAAGGTCATGAATTCACTCTTTTCACGGACCATAAACCGCTCACTTTCTCGTTAAGCTCTCCTTCAGACAAGTACTCTCCTCGTGAGTCTCGACAACTGGACTACATTTCGCAGTTTACTTCAGATATTCAACACATCTCTGGAGGAAACAATGTAGTTGCAGACGCCTTATCTCGCATAACTTCCTTGAACAGTTTCCAAGGAATCGACCTTCTTAAACTCGCCGAGCTTCAAAAAGAAGACAGTGATCTTCAGCACGAGTTATCGTCCACAACACTTAAACTACGCATCAAACAGATGGGAACAGGTAAGGAAACCTTACTTTGTGACACATCTACAGGTAGGGATCGCCCAATCGTGCCGAAACATTATCGACACAATGTCTTCAATATATTGCACAAATTTTCTCATCCAGGTGTTCGTGCAACCATCAAGCTCATAGCAGAACGATTTCGCTGGCCTGGCATGAATAAAGACGTGAGGGAGTGGGCACGCTCCTGTGTAAGCTGCCAAAAATCTAAGGTTATCAGACACAATAAATCCCCCTTAGGCTCGTTTAAAACTCCCGATGCTCGTTTCGACCATGTTCATCTGGATTTGGTAGGAACTTTACCAGATTCGAATGGATACTCTTATCTCTTAACCTGCGTAGACCGTTTCACTCGATGGCCAGAAGCAGTACCTATCAAGGACATCACTACTGAAACAGTGGCCCGCACCTTCGTCGAACGATGGGTAGCAAACTTCGGCTGCTCTTCAACCATCACTACAGACCGCGGACGTCAGTTTGAATCTGAACTTTTCCGTCGTCTGACCACACTTTTAGGAATCACTCGATTCCGAACGACCGCCTACCATCCACAAGCAAACGGGTTGGTAGAACGTTTTCACCGACAACTAAAAGCTTCACTATCAGCTGCAAACGTTTCACAGTGGACCGACGCTCTTCCACTTATCTTACTAGGTATCCGCAATGCAGTGAAAGCTGACATTGGATACACTGCGGCTCAACTCGTTTATGGAACGACACTTCGACTTCCAGGAGAATTCGTGGATCCTTCATCTATTTCAATGAACATGGATCTAAGCTCCTACACGAACAGGCTTACAAACGCAATGCGTTCAGTTAAACCTGCTTCCACTCGACCTCAATCAACTGATGTTTTCGTTTAGATCTGTAGCGGTAAATAAATCCCCAAAATAAATAGCTCTGTAAGTTTCCGACATTGGATGCTGACCATATGTTTTAGTGGACTCATCTAGCTGAAGGCACTCGGTCAGGCATCCGCACCAGATCACGTGTGGTAACGCCGCGCTCAACATCAACCGCAATCGCTAGCCAGATTAGATCAGAGAATTCCGATATATTGGTCATCGCCAAATATACTCTTCCGATCTCCTCGA